AAAGTTCCTTAAAATTAAATGAAATTAAAAAAAATATTATTTTTTTAAACAATAACATCTAAAAAATAAATTAAAAAATAATGAAAATAAAAAAGTTTCTAAAATTAAACTGAATAAGAAATATATATTTTTCGTTTTAAAACCATAAAATCTAAAAATTAAATTGAAAAAAAAAATTAGTTAAAAAAAATTTTAAATAAGAAAGGAAAAAAATCTCCGCTGCTCGAGACTCGAACTGCCTTGTAAAGCTTACATATCAACTTATTTTTCAACAGGTGCATTGAGCTATGGGCAAATAATATAACTATGTATAACCAAATCATGTGTTGAGAGAAACATATTTAGTTGACGTAACTAAACTTAAACTATTTTCTCAGTGTCCATGAAAATATTTTATTTGCCTAAATAAATTAAATATTTGACATATTATAATATGGTAATCTTAAGAATGTATGTATTTGCCCATGCCACCCCAGTGGACGTTTAAGCTGCGCAAACTTAAATAAAATCCTACCGTAAAAATTAAGAAAAAATTCTGACTACACCCAGAAAAAAGTCAGCTAAATATATTTCTCTCAAAACATGATTTGGTAAATATAACCAAATAATGTAACTATAACCAAATCATGTGTTGAGGAAAACATATTTAGTTGACGTAACTAAACTCTTTTCTCAGTGTACAAAGTTAAATACCTAAACATATTAAATTAAGTATACTAGCCTAGTTTCGAGTTGTGTGCCAAGCAATATTTTAAAACATAACTAGAATTCTATCTAAATTCGCTTTAAAGATGAACAACTTTTTTTTGCCAAAACAAAGAAACAAAAATAACTAGATACTAACAACGAATAAAATAAAGAAGCTACTATGTAAGTGCTTTTTAAAGTCACACTCATACGCCATGTTGCGGCTGGCTCACTGCTTAAGCAATATTTAACACACGTTAATTTCATTAATACTCAACACCGTTAAAGTATATATTTATTACAAAACTTATTTTGCACTATTTACTAACAATAATTAAATGAAAACAAAATAATACTAAACTAAATTATTAAAATTTAAATAAATGTCGTTCAATTGTTTGTGTGAACTAAACAAATATTTGTTATTTGTGTCTCTGTTTATTTTCTTTTATTCGTCTACTTTATACTCTCTTCCCAAATTAACAAAACAAAAATTTTTAAATTTTTCGTACCCTTAATTTCGAAAACAACTATTCAAATATTTTACATCTTACTTTATAAATGTTTTTCGTTTTTATTTTAATATTTGGTTTGTACTTTTTTGGTGTTCCTATTTTCTTTGTTGGTGTTCTATATTTTTGTTATTTATGTTTGTAGGACGAGAAGAATCAACTTCTTATAACCAATCTTTGGCTTTCGTTGGTAAGTTTCAATTAAAAAAATATAAAAAAAATAAAAACTTTAAATAAGCACTTTAAATATTTATAATTATAAATATATAAAATATGTTCAATAAATAATCATTTTGTTCATTAAATAAACTCATGCAAATGAAGTGGCACAAAATTCGTAAAAATATGTAAAAATTAGTGGCTCAGCATTAGAAAATATTCTTGGCTAGTCAAACTTGGTTTAAAAGTTCTGGCAAGCTCGATTTTTTTCAAGTAAATTTTTTGCCACTTCAGCCTTCATAATTTACGCACACGGCATATTTCTACTTACACAGTCCGCTTTCCTCTGCTTCTTACTTACCTTCTTATGCAAATACTCGTAACTAGTATTGTTTATGTTTCACAAGCTCGCTTTTTTTCATAGAACTATTTTCAACTAATCAATCTTTACATATAAGTATATGTACATACATAAGTAGCTCTACAATAGTTTGAGTCCCGCACCCAAAACAATTTTTTAATTAGCATTCAAAGCCCTCTCGCTTCTAAGAATTTAATGCTATTCTTTTTCTGTGTACTTACATATATTTACTACACCTAACTTACCTTTAAAAACTTTCTGCCTACTTTTTCATTCATAAACCTTTACATATGTACATTAGAGTGGGCCCTTAAATAGCAACATCTAAAGTTTTTACGGGGCATAAAACCAAAAAACTTGGACATGAAATATTAGCCTTTACACTGCTTTAAGAACAAAGGAAGCCAGGCTTATAGGTCTAAAGTCTATCGCCGTTTTTTGTGCTATGGGATGAGCACTACTTTGATTTCAAGCAATGGTGCTAGATGTTTCTTTACTTGCTGTAACATGACCGATATTATACCCACCTGAGCCAGGATATTTAAAGTGAGAGAAACTATTCATGGCAAATATAATCTTTTTAGTGCTTGTAATTGATTCCAGTTCTCTATTAGTAGTGTTGCTACACACTGATTACAGCCTGTAAAATGGGATTAAACTAGCGTCTCTAAAGATTCATCCGTGGAGCTTGTCCATCCATTGTTCGTTCTTTTAATAGAGGATAAGCTGGTGTACTCTTTTGAGAGAATCTTGCTGAGCCTAGTTGAGTCTCTAACGCACATTCTCATTTTCAATCTCAAACAACAACAATTGTGAACAATTTATTTTTTTTATTTTAAATTTTATATGATTTTAAAATGCCTCTCAAATGTCAGAAAAAAAATCATGGCCGACGAATTAGAGAATGAATTTACCTTGTAATAGTTTTATCATCGTTGATATTAACTTATTTCTCCCAGTGTACCCAGCAGTAATCATATATTAGTTGCCTGTCGGAAACTCTCCAATTCTCACCGGTGATGCCAACGCTCTCACGCAGCAACGTTAGGTCCAACACCTTCAGGAAACCAAGTGGAATAGACGCCTACAAAATACATTCAAACAAAGCCATGTATTTTAATCAGGGCTGCAAACCTGTTTTGAACCGATCCGGTTTATCAACCGAACCGTTGCTGTTTTTAGGGTTTCGAATCGAAAAACGAACCGAACCATTTTTATTTTGAAATGCCAAAACCGAACCGAGAACCACCCCAAAAAACGGTGCGGTTCGGTTCAAAATCCACTTAAGCATTTTTCAAGTTTTGTAATTCACAACTTTCTCAAAAAATGCAACCTTATGGTAAAACTGCGAACATTTTTGAGTTTAATGGCATATCTGTGATTATAATTCGTCCATATAAAAAATGCTTGAAATGTTTTTATATGGAAGAAAATGCAAATCACTGCCAGCAGAAAAAATTCAAATCCGGGAAAAAATTGCCAAAAATCTACTTAAAAATTTGTTCTAGAAATTCTTATTAAAAATTTTGAAACTTAGATGAAACAAAGTGTGAAACTTGGATTTATTCAGTTTTAGTTGGACGAACCAGCAATTTCAGCAGCGAAAAGTTTCACACAATCGACTCTAGCAGACCAACAAGTCTGGAACATATCAAATTCGTTGTTGTTAATATTTACGCTATTGTTCTCTAGCTTCCATCCATTTGTTTTTTGAAACCATAGTAGCAATACATAGAACATTTTGCTTTTTTTCATTAATATAAGGAGAAAGGTTTTTTTTTTCTTTTCAAGGAACGTACTTATTAACAATTTTATTCAGCGGGCCCAATACATTTAGACCAGCCGATCTCCCACCTCGACGGGCCTGATCTTAAAGCTAACTCTTAGGAATTCCTAAATTAGCGGCTCATTACACACCAATTTTTTTATTGAGGTTTGACCATAACAGTTAGGTAAATAGCAAAGGAGCACCGTGCCTTATTTACAAATTAATTAAAACTTAGCTCACTAGCCACACACACAAATTTTAACTTGTAGTTGCATTTAGTACAATACGTTCGTCTAAATAATTTTGTAGTAGATACTACATAGCTATAGAGTACTTAAATATTTGCCTTTGAATACCAATGCCCTGCAGGGAAAAGCCAAACCAGTTAGAAAATATACTAGTTCATTAACTAGTATGTCCTACCAGTTCGACAATTTCGAATCTGCCTTTGAATTGCCAAAGCCAATAATAAAACGCAATTAATTGCTTTTCTTACAAGTGTAAGCTGTGGCGTCACGTGAAGACTACTGGTTCTGGTTCTGAAATCGTAGGTTCGAGACCGCTGGGGGGTGGTTAAGATTTTTAAAGGTAAATCAATGTAAGTAAAAATAATTTATTCAATTTATAAATAAATAACAAATTTGAAAATCTAATTGCATTGCAAAAAAAAACATACATATATGAGGAAATGCTTGTGCCATAAAAACAAAGAAATTAAACAAAAATATTTTTTTATTACGTTTAAAAATTACAATAAAACCCCCAAAAAAATAAGTTTAATTTAAAAAAACATTATGTAATTAAAAAAAATAAAAAATAAAAATTTCCTCCGCGTCAGGACTTGAACCTGAGACCTCACGCATACCACGCGACTGCTTTGCTCTGTCGGTCATTGTGGCTGTTGGAGCGCTGCGAGCAAAAAGGCATACTTATGCTAATCACGGGGATGAATTGGCAGACTAACTCATCAACTGGTATGATGCTACTAGTATTTATACTAGTAGATGCTGATGCATAGCCTGACAATTGACATCTCGTAGGACATCGCAATGTTAAAAATACCAGTCGCTAACATTGAAAAAGGATAGAACGTGAACTAGTTCAGCTGAAACGCAAACTGGTAGAATTCTAGTTCACAACTAGTAGATTTCCCTGCAGGGTGTATGTATGTAAAAAGCCATTACAGTTTTCATGTAACTTCCAGTTATTAACATAACCAGTCGAATATTGCCGTGTGTGCGAAATTACTAAAATAAAACGCTAAACAAAATCTCTTAAGTAGTATAAATATAAACGGTAGTACTGTAAATAATCAAATACATTCTAAGTCATTCAGATTTTTCGCTTTTTTCTCTCTTTTAATGCTGTTCGTTTCAAAACTTACTATTTAAACACTGTAGTTTGTTGTTTTTTTTTTTTTTTATGCTTCAAGTATTTTGTTTATAAAATATTTAGCTTTAGCATTTTCCAAAATATTTTCAGAAAATATTTATTTTAAATTTTCTAAGACTAAAAGATAATATATAGCTTTTAATGTATGTAGGTATTTTCATTTTACATACATACCTACATACCTATAGAAATTTTATTTGAATTTATTAGAAATGTATGCGTTTAAATTTCTGTTCAAACACGATATATTTACATACAATTACTACTTTATGGAACCTATAAAAAAAAAAATATAGCGGTGACGTTGGTAAATTACAAACATTATTTACACGTATGTACTTATATTCTTCATACATACTTCATTTAACGGTAAGTTTTCGAATCAAAGCATAAAAGTATAAAACAAAACAGCAAATAAAATAAAGATTAAAACTACCTAGCTGGCTTTCTTTTCACCTATTTGTTATCACTCACTTCCTTCTGATTAGAACCACATTCTAACGTCCATGTTAAAGCACAGATTCGCTGTCGTGCAGCTCTTGATCTGGTTTTGAACATATCCGCTGGCTACCTATCTTACTCTTAAAGTAAAAAAGTACTTAAAGTAAAAGTAAGAGCTAACTTTCTTCATCAAGGTAGCAATTTGGCAGTTTTGGATCCAAAGTAGCCTTCCTTGGCTGTGTTTTAGCTTAAGTTGGAAGAATGTGAATGAGTGTAACGATACGTACGTTAAAAGTTTTTATTAAATTTTTTCAACCAGATCTCTATAAAAGGAATTGTTACGTAAATCAGGAGTGTCTCTATTATCCAAGGGAATTTCCGTTTACTCCATTTCTGTCATCTAAAGTAATGGCACCAAAAACTATTATACCAGCTTCCACTGCTTTCCTGGATATTCGCATAAGACCTACGCTAAAACAATTTTCCAGAAACCAAGCTTAAGCTACTACCGCCCCAAAATGTTTAGCTTCCACAGCAAACCGAGCACAGTTCAAATAATGGCATGAGAATCATTAAAAAAAATACGCCACCTCTCCATCATAAATATGAGCTCACAACTATGCCACAGAGGTACCACCTTTACCAACATACTCTGCACCTTCGCCACACATGTCTATCCGCCAGCAGGCTTCCGTGTCAGTATCCGCAACGGCATCCTGCATTGTGTATGCGAAGCGTTTTGTACAATTCAAATTTTTTCCCCCACAACAATGTTGCATTAAAAGTATACTTGTTGCAGTACCAAGAGTTACAGCGTTCTGCGAGGAAAAAAATCGCGGAAATGCTTTGTTTTTATATTACTACTTTTTTTTAGCGGGAATGCACTACCCCTGGGAGCGCATGATAACAGCAAAGGTTGCAAGTGTTATGCGTAAAATAAAACAGTTGTTCCACATACGCGTACTCCTGTAGCCGCGCAACAATAAAACTTGTGGTATTACAGATTGTAGTAGTTGTTAGTGACATTCGCCTCCACGGCGAAAGTAATTAAATTATTTATTTAAATTGA